TCAAACTTCATGTTCAACCTTCAAGTTCAACCTTCAAATTCAAACTTCAAGTTGAACCTTCAAGTTGAACCTTCAAGATCAAACTTCGAGTTCAACCTCCAAGTTCAAACTTCAAGTTGAACCTTCAAGTTCAACCTCCAAGTCCAACCTTCAAGTTCAAACTTCAAGTTCAACCTTCAAGTTTAACCTTCAAGTTCAAACTTCAAGTTCAACCTTCGAATTCAACCTTCAAGTTCAGACGTCAGATTCAACCTTTGAGTTCAACCTTCAAGTTCAACCTCCAAGTTCAACTTCAAGTTCAACCTTCAAGTTCAAATCGCAGGTTCAACCTTCAAGTTCAACCTACAAGTTCAATCTTCAAGATCTTCCTTCAAGTTCAAACTTCGAGTTGAACCTTCAAGTTCAACCTTCGAAGTCAAACATCAAGTTCAACCTCCTAATTCAACCTTCGAGTTCAACCTTCGAGTTCAACCTTCGAATTCCACCTTCAAGTTTGAACTTCAAGATCATACTTCGAGTTCAAACTTCGAGTTGAACCTCAAAGTTCAACCTTCATGTTCAAACTTCGAGTTCAACATTCAAGCTCAAACTTCAAGTTGAACCCTCAAGTTCAAAATTAAAGTTGAACCTACAAGTACAACCTTCAAGTTCAACCTTCAAGTCTCACTTCAAGTTCGAACTTCAAGTTCAACCTTCGAGTTCGACCTTCAAGCTCAAACTTCATGTTGAACCTCCAAGTTCAACCTTCGAGTTCAACCTTCGAGTTCAAACTTCGAGTAGAACCTTCAAGTTTGATCTTCAAGCTCAAACTCCAAGTTCAACCTTCAAGTTCAACCTTCAAGTTTGAACTTCAAGTTGAACCTTCAAGTTCAACCTTCAAATTCAACCTTCGACTTCAAACTTCAAGTTCGACCTTCAAGTTCAACCTTCAAGTTCAAACTCCAAATTCAACCTTTGAGTTCAACCTCCGAGTTTAACTTCAAGTTCATACTCCAAGTTCAAACTTCAAGTCCAACCTTCGAGTTCAAACTTCAAGTCCAACCATTGAATGAAACCTTCTAGTTCAATCTTCAAGTTTAACTTCAAGTTCAACAATCAAGTCCAAATCTTCAAGTTCAACCTTCAAGCTCAAACTTCAAGTTGAACCTTCAAGTTCAAAATTCAAGCTGAACCTTCAAGAACAACGTTCAAGTTCAACCTTCAAGTCTAACTTCAAGTTCAAACTTCAAGTTCAACCTTCGAGTTCGACCTTCAAGTTCAAACTCCAAGTTGAACTTTCAAGTTCAACCTCCGAGTTCAACCTTCAAGTTCAAACTTCAAGTTCAACCTTCAAGTTCAAACTTCAAGTTCAACCCTCAAGTTCTACCTTCAAGTTCAACCTTCAAGTTCAACCTACGAGTTCGAACTCTAAGTCCGATCTCCAAGTTGAAACTTCAAGTTCAACCTCACGTTCAAACTTCAAGTTAAAATTTCAAGTACAACCTTCAAATTCAACCTCCAAGTTCAACTTCAAGTCCAAACTTCGAGTTCAACATTCAAGTTCAACCTTCGAGTTGAACCTTCAAGTATAATTTCAGGTTCAAACTTCAAGTTCAACCTTCAAGTTCAACTTCAAGTTCAAACTTCAAGTTCAAACTTCAAGTTCAACATTCAAGTTCAACCTTCAAGTTGAACCTTCAAGTATAATTTCAGGTTCAAACTTCAAGTTCAACCTCCAAGTTCAAACTTCATGTTCAACCTTCAAGTTCAACCTTCAAATTCAAACTTCGAGTTGAACCTTCAAGTTGAACCTTCAAGATCAAACTTCGAGTTCAACCTCCAAGTTCAAACTTCAAGTTGAACCTTCAAGTTCAACCTCCAAGTCCAATCTTCAAGTTCAAACTTCAAGTTCAACCTTCAAGTTCAACCTTCAAGTTCAAACTTCAAGTTCAACCTTCAAGTTCAACCTTCAAGTTCAGACGTCAGATTCAACCTTTGAGTTCAACCTTCAAGTTCAACCTCCAAGTTTAACTTCAAGTTCAACCTTCAAGTTCAAATCGCAGGTTCAACCTTCAAGTTCAACCTACAAGTTCAATCTTCAAGATCTTCCTTCAAGTTCAAACTTCGAGTTGAACCTTCAAGTTCAACCTTCGAAGTCAAACATCATGTTCAACTCCCAAGTTCAACCTTCGAGTTCAACCTTCAAGTTCAACCTTCGAACTCCACCTTCAAGGTTGAACTTCAAGATCATACTTCAAGTTCAAACTTCGAGTTGAACCTCAAAGTTCAACCTTCATGTTCAAACTTCAAGTTCAACATTCAAGCTCAAACTTCAAGTTGAACCCTCAAGTTCAAAATTAAAGTTGAACCTTCAAGTACAACCTTCAAGTTCAACCTTCAAGTCTCACTTCAAGTTCGAACTTCAAGTTCAACCTTCGAGTTCGACCTTCAAGCTCAAACTTCATGTTGAACCTTCAAGTTCAACCTTCGAGTTCAACCTTCAAGTTCAAACTTCGAGTAGAACCTTCAAGTTTGATCTTCAAGCTCAAACTCCAAGTTCAACCTTCAAGTTCAACCTTCAAGTTTGAACTTCAAGTTGAACCTTCAAAATCAACCTTCAAATTCAACCTTCGAGTTCAAACTTCAAGTTCAACCTTCAAGTTCAACCTTCAAGTTCAAACTACAAATTCAACCTTTAAGTTCAACCTTCAAGTTCAACCTCCGAGTTTAACTTCAAGTTCATACTTCAAGTTCAAACTTCAAGTCCAACCTTCGAGTTCAAACTTCAAGTTCAACCATTGAATGTAACCTTCTAGTTCAATCTTCAAGTTTAACTTCAAGTTCAACATTCAAGTCCAAACTTCAAGTTCAACCTTCAAGCTCAAACTTCAAGTTGAACCTTCAAGTTCAAAATTCAAGCTGAACCTTCAAGTACAACGTTCAAGTTCAACCTTCAAGTCTAACTTCAAGTTCAAACTTCAAGTTCAACCTTCGAGTTCGACCTTCAAGTTCAAACTCCAAGTTGAACCTTCAAGTTCAACCTCCGAGTTCAACCTTCAAGTTCAAACTTCAAGTTGAACCTTCAAGTTCAACCTTCACGTTCATACTTCGAATTCAACTTTCGAATTGAACCTTCAAGTTCAACCTTCGAGTTCAACCTCCGAGTTCAAACTTCAAGTTCAACCTTCAAGTTGAAACTTCGAGTTGAACCTCCTAGTACAACCTTCAAGTTCAACTTCAAGTTGAAACTCCGTGTTCAACCTTCAAGTTCAACCCTCAAGTTCAACCTTTGAGTTCAATCTCTGAGTTCAACCTACAAGTTCAAACTCCAAGTTCGAACTCCAAGTTAAACCTTCAAGTACAACCTCCAAGTTCAACCTTCAAGTTCAACCTTCAAGTATAACTTCAAGTTCGAACTTCAAGTTCTACATTCAAGTTCAACCTTCAAGTTGAACCTGCAAGTATAACTTCAGGTTCAAACTTCATGTTCAACCTTCAAGTTCAACCTTCAAATTCAAACTTCGAGCTGAACCTTCAAGTCGAACCTACAAGATCAAACTTCAAGTTCAGACATCAAGTTCAAACTTCAAGTTGAACCTTCAAGTTCATCCTTCAAGTCCAACCTCACGTTCAAACTCCAAGTTAAACCCTCAAGTTCAACCTTCGAGTTCAACCTTCAAGTTCAAACTTCGAATAGAACCTTCAAGTTGAACCTTCAAGTTCAACCTTCAAATTCAACCTTCGAGTTCAAACTTCAAGTTCAACCTTCAAGTTCAACCTTCGAGTTCAAACTCCAAATTCAACTTTTGAGTTCAACCTTCAAGTTCAACCTCCGAGTTTAACTCCAAGTTCATACTTCAAGTTCAACTTTCAAGTCCAACCTTCAAGTTCAATTTTCAAGTTCAACCATTGAATGTAACCTTCTAGTTCAATCTTCAAGTTCAACATCGAGTTCAACATTCAAGTCCAAACTCCAAGTTCAACCTTCAAGCTCAAACTTCGAGTTGAACCTTCAAGTTCAAAATTCAAGTTGAACCTTCAAGTACAACCTTCAAGTACAACCTTCAAGTCTAATTTCAAGTTCAAACTTCAAGTTCAATCTTCGAGTTCGACCTTCAAGTTCGAACTCCAAGTTGAACCTTCAAGTTCAACCTTCGAATTCAACCTTCAAGTTCGAACTTCGAGTTGAACCTTCAAGTTCAACCTTCACGTTCAAACTTCGAATTGAACCTTCAAGTTCAACCTTCAAGTCCAACCTCCGAGTTCAAACTTCAAGTTCAACCTTCAAGTTGAAACTTGGAGTTGAACCTCCTAGTACAACCTTCAAGTTCAACCTTCAAGTTGAACCTCCTAGTTCAACCTTCAAGTTCGACCTTCAAGTTCAACCTCCGAGTTCAACTTCAAGTAAAAACTCCGTGTTCAACCTTCAAGTTCAACCCTCAAGTTCAACCTTCCAGTTCAAACTCCAAGTTCAACCCTCAAGTTCAACCTTTAAGTTCAACCTTCGAGTTTAACCTACGAGTTCAAACTTCAAGTTCGAACTTCAAGTTGAACCTTCAAGTTCAACCTCACGTTCGAACTTCAAGTTTAACCTTCAAGTACAACCTTCAAGTTCAACCTTCAAGTATAACTTCAAGTTCAAACTTCAAGTTCAACATTCGAGTTCAACCTTCAAGTTGAACCTTCAAGTATAACTTCAGGTTCAAACTTCAAGTTCAACCTTCAAGTTTAATCTCGATGTTCAAACTTCATGTTCAACCTTCAAGTTCAACCTTCAAATTCATACTTCGAGTTGAACATTCAAGTTGAACCTTCAAGATCAAACTTCAAGTTCAGACATCAAGTTCAAACTCCAAGTTGAACCTTCAAGTTCAACCTTCAAGTTCAACCTCACGTTCAAACTCCAAGTTGAACCTCCAAGTACAAACTTCAAGTTCAACATCCAAGTTTAACCTTCAAGTTGAACCTTCAAGTATAATTTCAGGTTCAAACTTCAAGTTCAACCTTGAAGTTCAAACTTCATGTTCAACCTCCAAGTTCAACCTTCAAATTCAAACTTCAAGTTGAACCTCCAAGTTAAACCTTCGAGATCAAACTTCAAGTTCAACCTCCAAGTTCAAACCGTAAGTTGAACCTTCAAGTTCAACCTCCAAGTCCAACCTTCGAGTTCAAACTTCAAGTTCAACCTTCAAGTTCAACCTTCAAGTTCCAACTTCAAGTTCAACCTTCAAGTTCAACCTTCAAGTTCAAACTTCAGATTCAACCTTCGAGTTCAACCTTCAAGTTCAATCTCCAAGTTCAACTTCAAGTTCAACCTTCAAGTTCAAACTGCAGGTTCAACCTTCAAGTTCAACCTCCAAGTTCAACCTACAAGTTCATTCTTCAAGATCTTCCTTCAAGTTCAAACTTCGAGTTGAACCTTCAAGTTCAACCTTCGAGTTGAACCTTCAAGTTCAACATTCAAGGTCAAACATCAAGTTCAACCTCCAAGTTCAACCTTCGAGTTCAACCTTCAAGGTCAACCTTCAAGTTTTACCTCCACGTTCAGACTTCAAGATCATCCTTCAAGTTCAAACTTCGAGTTGAACCTTAAAGTTCAACCTTCAATTTCAAACTTCGAGTTCAACTTTCGAATTGAACTTCCAAGTTCAACCTTCAAGTTAAACCTCCGAGTTTAAACCTCAAGTTCAACCTTCAAGTTGAAACTCCAAGTTTAACCTCCAAGTACAACCTTCAAGTTCAACCTTCAAGTTTAACTTCAAGTTCAAACTCCGAGTTCAACCTTCAAGATCAACCTTCAAGTTCAACCCTCAAGTTCAACCTTCAAGTTCAACCTTCAAGTTCAACCTACGAGTTCAAACTCCAAGTTCGAACTCCAAGTTGAACCTTCAAGTTCAACCTCACGTTCAAACTTCAAGTTAAAATTTCAAGTACAACCTTCAAATTCAACCTCCAAGTTTAACTTCAAGTCCAAACTTCGAGTTCAACATTCAAGTTCAACCTTCGAGTTGAACCTTCAAGTATAATTTCAGGTTCAAACTTCAAGTTCAACCTTCAAGTTCAACTTCAAGTTCAAACTTCAAGTTCAAACTCCAAGTTCAACATTCAAGTTCAACCTTCAAGTTCAACATTCAAGTATAATTTCAGGTTCAAACTTCAAGATCAACCTCCAAATTTAAACTTCATGTTCAACCTTCAAGTTCAACCTTCAAATTCAAACTTCAAGTTGAACCTTCAAGTTAAACCTTCAAGATCAAACTCCGTGTTCAACCTTCAAGTCCAACCTTTAAGTTCAAACTTCAAGTTCAACCTTCAAGTTCAACCTTCAAGTTCAAACTTCAAGTTCAACCTTCAAGTTCAACCTTCAAGTTCAGACGTCAGATTCAACCTTTGAGTTCAACCTTCAAGTTCAACCTCCAAGTTTAACTTCAAGTTCAACCTTCAAGTTCAAATCGCAGGTTCAACCTTCAAGTTCAACCTACAAGTTCAATCTTCGTGATCTTCCTTCAAGTTCAAACTTCGAGTTGAACCTTCAAGTTCAACCTTCGAAGTCAAACATCAAGTTCAACCTCCAAGTTCAACCTTCGAGTTCAACCTTCAAGTTCAACCTTCAAGTTCAACCTTCAAATTCATACTTCAAGTTGAACATTCAAGTTGAACCTTCAAAATCAAACTTCAAGTTCAGACATCAAGTTCAAACTCCAAGTTGAACCTTCAAGTTCAACCTTCAAGTTCAACCTCACGTTCAACCTCCAAGTTAAACCTCCAAGTACAAACTTCAAGTTCAACATCCAAGTTTAACCTTCAAGTTGAACCTTCAAGTATAATTTCAGGTTCAAACTTCAAGTTCAACCTTGAAGTTCAAACTTCATGTTCAACCTTCAAGTTCAACCTTCAAATTCAAACTTCAAGTTGAACCTCCAAGTCAAACCTTCGAGATCAAACTTCAAGTTCAACCTCCAAGTTCAAACCTTAAGCTGAACCTTCAAGTTCAACCTCCAAGTCCAACCTTCAAGTTCAAACTTCAAGTTCAACCTTCAAGTTCAACCTTCAAGTTCCAACTTCAAGTTCAACCTTCAAGTTCAACCTTCAAGTTCAAACTTCAGATTCAACCTTCGAGTTCAACCTTCAAGTTCAATCTCCAAGTTCAACTTCAAGTTCAACCTTCAAGTTCAAACTGCAGGTTCAACCTTCAAGTTCAACCTTCAAGTTCAACCTACAAGTTCATTCTTCAAGATCTTCCTTCAAGTTCAAACTTCGAGTTGATCCTTCAAGTTCAACCTTCGAGTTGAACCTTCAAGTTCAACATTCAAGGTCAAACATCAAGTTCAACCTCCAAGTTCAACCTTCGAGTTCAACCTTCAAGTTCAACCTTCAAGTTTTACCTCCACGTTCAAACTTCAAGATCATCCTTCAAGTTCAAACTTCGAGTTGAACCTCAAAGTTCAACCTTCAATTTCAAACTTCAAGTTCAACTTTCGAATTGAACTTCCAAGTTCAACCTTCAAGTTTAACCTCCGAGTTTGAACCTCAAGTTCAACCTTCAAGTTGAAACTCCAAGTTTAACCTCCAAGTACAACCTTCAAGTTCAACCTTCAAGTTTAACTTCAAGTTCAAACTCCGAGTTCAACCTTCAAGATCAACCTTCAAGTTCAACCCTCAAGTTCAACCTTCAAGTTCAACCTTCAAGTTCAACCTACGAGTTCAAACTCCAAGTTCGAACTCCAAGTTGAAACTTCAAGTTCAACCTCACGTTCAAACTTCAAGTTAAAATTTCAAGTACAACCTTCAAATTCAACCTTCAAGTTTAACTTTCAAGTCCAAACTTCGAGTTCAACATTCAAGTTCAACCTTCGAGTTGAACCTTCAAGTATAATTTCAGGTTCAAACTTCAAGTTCAACCTTCAAGTTCAACTTCAAGTTCAAACTTCAATTTCAAACTCCAAGTTCAACATTCAAGTTCAACCTTCAAGTTGAACCTTCAAGTATAATTTCAGGTTCAAACTTCAAGTTCAACCTCCAAATTCAAACTTCATGTTCAACCTTCAAGTTCAACCTTCAAATTCAAACTTCAAGTTGAACCTTCAAGTTAAACCTTCAAGATCAAACTTCGAGTTCAACCTCCAAGTTCAAACTTCAAGTCGAACCTTCAAGTTCAACCTTCAAGTCCAACCTTTAAGTTCAAACTTCAAGTTCAACCTTCAAGTTCAACCTTCAAGTTCAAACTTCAAGTTCAACCTTCAAGTTCAACCTTCAAGTTCAGACGTCAGATTCAACCTTTGAGTTCAACCTTCAAGTTCAACCTCCAAGTTTAACTTCAAGTTCAACCTTCAAGTTCAAATCGCAGGTTCAACCTTCAAGTTCAACCTACAAGTTCAATCTTCGTGATCTTCCTTCAAGTTCAAACTTCGAGTTGAACCTTCAAGTTCAACCTTCGAAGTCAAACATCAAGTTCAACCTCCAAGTTCAACCTTCGAGTTCAACCTTCAAGTTCAACCTTCGAATTCCACCTTCAAGTTCAAACTTCAAGATCATACTTCAAGTACAAACTTCGAGTTGAACCTCAAAGTTCAACCTTCATGTTCAAACTTCAAGTTCAACATTCAAGCTCAAACTTCAAGTTGAACCCTCAAGTTCAAAATTGAAGTTGAACCTTCAAGTACAACCTTCAAGTTCAACCTTCAAGTCTCACTTCAAGTTCAAACTTCAAGTTCAACCTTCGAGTTCGACCTTCAAGCTCAAACTTCATGTTGAACCTTCAAGTTCAACCTTCGAGTTCAACCTTCAAGTTCAAACTTCGAGTAGAACCTTCAAGTTTGATCTTCAAGCTCAAACTCCAAGTTCAACCTTCAAGTTCAACCTTCAAGTTTGAACTTCAAGTTGAACCTTCAAGTTCAACCTTCAAATTCAACCTTCGAGTTCAAACTTCAAGTTCAACCTTCACGTTCAACCTTCAAGTTCAAACTCCAAATTCAACCTTCGACTTCAACCTTCAAGTTCAACCTCCGAGTTTAACTTCAAGTTCATACTTCAAGTTCAAACTTCAAGTCCAACCTTCGAGTTCAAACTTCAAGTTCAACCATTGAATGTAACCTTCTAGTTCAATGTTCAAGTTCAACTTCGAGTTCAACATTCAAGTCCAAACTTCAAGTTCAACCTTCAAGCTCAAACTTCGAATTGAACCTTCAAGTTCAAAATTCAAGTTGAACCTTCAAGTACAACTTTCAAGTACAACCTTCAAGTCTAATTTCAAGTTCAAACTTTAAGTTCAATCTTCGAGTTCGACCTTCAAGTTCGAACTCCAAGTTGAACCTTCAAGTTCAACCTTCGAGTTCAACCTTCAAGTTCGAACTTCGAGTTGAACCTTCGAGTTCAACCTTCACGTTCAAACTTCGAATTGAACCTTCAAGTTCAACCTTCAAGTCCAACCTCCGAGTTCAAACTTCAAGGTCAACCTTCAAGTTGAACCTCCTAGTTCAACCTTCAAGTTCAACCTTCAAATTCAACCTCCGAGTTCAACTTCAAGTTAAAACTCCGTGTTCAACCTTCAAGTTCAACCCTCAAGTTCAACCTTCCAGTTCAAACTCCAAGTTCAACCCTCAAGTTCAACCTTTAAGTTCAACCTTCGAGTTTAACCTACGAGTTCAAACTCCAAGTTCGAACTCCAAGTTGAACCTTCAAGTTCAACCTCACGTTCGAACTTCAAGTTTAACCTTCAAGTACAACCTTCAAGTTCAACCTTCAAGTATAACTTCAAGTTCAAACTTCAAGTTCAACATTTGAGTTCAACCTTCAAGTTGAACCTTCAAGTATAACTTCAGGTTCAAACTTCAAGTTCAACTTCCAAGTTCAACCTCGATGTTCAAACTTCATGTTCAACCTTCAAGTTCAAACTTCAAATTCAAACTTCAAGTTGAACATTCAAGTTGAACCTTCAAGATCAAACTTCAAGTTCAGACATCAAGTTCAAACTTCAAGTTGAACCTTCAAGTTCAACCTTCAAGTTCAACCTTCAAGTTCAACCTCACGTTCAAACTCCAAGTTAAACCTCCAAGTACAACCTTCAAGTTCAACCTTCAAGTTCAACTTCAAGTTCAAACTTCAAGTTCAACCTTCAAGTTGAACCTTCAAGTATAATTTCAGGTTCAAACTTCAAGTTCAACCTTGAAGTTCAAACTTCATGTTTAACCTTCAAGTTCAACCTTCAAATTCAAACTTCAAGTTCAACCTCCAAGTTCAAACCTCAAGTTGAACCTTCAAGTTCAACCTCCAAGTCCAACCTTCAAGTTCAAACTCCAACTTTAACCTTCAAGTTCAACCTTCAAGTTCCAACTTCAAGTTCAACCTTCAAGTTCAACCTACAAGTTCAAACTTCAGATTCAACCTTCGAGTTCAACCTTCAAGTTCAACCTCCAAGTTCAACTTCAAGTTCAACCTTCAAGTTCAAACTGCAGGTTCAACCTTCAAGTTCAACCTTCAAGTTCAACCTACAAGTTCATTCTTCAAGATCTTCCTTCAAGTTCAAACTTCGAGTTGAACCTTCAAGTTCAACCTTCAAGGTCAAACATCAAGTTCAACCTCCAAGTTCAACCTTCGAGTTCAACCTTCAAGTTTTACCTTCACGTTCAAACTTCAAGATCATCCTTCAAGTTCAAACTTCGAGTTGAACCTTAAAGTTCAACCTTCAATTTCAAACTTCAAGTTCAACCTTCAAGCTCAAACTTCAAGGTGAACCCTCAAGTTCAAAATTCAAGTTGAACCTTCAAGTACAACCTTCAAGTTCAACTCAAGTCTCACTTTAAGTTCAAACTTCAAGTTCAACCTTCGAGTTCGACCTTCAAGCCCAAACTTCATGTTGAACCTTCGAGTTCAACCTTCGAGTTCAACCTTCAAGTTCAAACTTCGAGTAGAACCTTCAGGTTGAACCTTCAAGCTCAAACTCCAAGTTCAACCTTCAAGTTCAACCTTCAAGTTCAGTTTTTCCTTCTGCAAGCTGTGTGCGTTATACTTGCTCAGAAGTCGTCTCATATGGGCAGTGCGAACTCGTTCGCTCCAATAGTTCCCTTGTGAGTTGATGAGATAGAGAGATATAGTGTGCACAACGATGAAGTTGATGTATCTTCATTTGCCCATTGTTCTCGTTATATACCCTTCAAAGTCATTTTATATGGTCATTGCAATCGTATCTGCTTCAACTGTATGCATGTCAGATTTCAGACTGCAGAGTTACAGTGTGAACATAGTCGAAGTCGAAGTTTCTTGTTCTGCAAGCTGTATGCTTTATATTTGCTTTTAAGTCGTCTTATATGGTCAATGCGAACTTGTCTGCTTCAGAAGTGTCCATTTGAGATGATAGGACAAAGAGATATAGTGTGCACAACGATGAAGTCCATGTATCTTCATTTGCCTATTGTACCCGTTATAATTCCTTCAATTCGATTTTATACGATCACTGCAATCTTTTCTGCATCAACTGTATGCATGTCAGATACAAGACTGCAGAGTTACAGTAAAAAACAAAGTCGAAGTCGAAATTTTTCGTTCTGCAAGTTGTGTGCGTTATACCCGCTCATGAGTCGTCTCATATGGGCATTGCGAACTCGTCTGCATCGATAGTATCCCTGTGAGATGATAGGATAGGGAGCCATAGTGTGTACTCCGATAAAGTCGATGTATCTTCAGCTGCCTATTGTACTTTCTATAAACCCACCAAAGTCGTCTTATATGGTCACTGCGATCATATCTGCTTCAACTGTATGCATGTCAGATGCAAAACTGCAGAGTTTCTGTGGAAACATATTCGTAGTCGAAGTTTTTCCTTCTGCAAGCTGTGTGCGTTATACTTGCTCAGAAGTCGTCTCATATTGGCAGTGCGAACTCGTTCGCTTCAATAGTTTCCTTGTGAGTTGATGGGATAGAGAGATATAGTGTGCACAACGATGAAGTTGATGTATCTTCTTTTCCCCTTTTTTCTCGTTATATAACCTTTCAAAGTCATTTCATATGGTCACTGCAATCGTATCTGCTTCAACTGTATGCATGTTAGATTTCAGACTGCAGAGTTACAGTGTGAACATAGTCGAAGTCGAAGTTTCTTGTTCTACAAACGGTATGCGTTATATTCGCTTGGAAGTCGTCTTATATGGTCAATGCCAACTTGTCTGCTTTAGAAGTGTCCATTTGAGATGATAGGATAAAGAGATATAGTGTGCACAACGATGAAGTCGATGTATGTTCATTTGCGTATTGTATCTGTTATCATTCATCCAATTTCATCTTATACGGTCACTGCAATCTTTTCTGCATCAACTGTATGCATGTCAGATACAAGACTGCAGAGTTACAGTGAAGAACATAGTCGAAGTCGAAATTTTTTGTTCTGCAAGTTGTGGGCGTTATATTCGCTCAGAAGTCGTCTCATATGGGCATTGCGAACTCGTCTGCATCGATAGTATCCATGTGAGATGATAGGATAGGGAGCCAGAGTGTGCACTCCGATGAAGTCGATGTATCTTCATCTGCCTATTGTACTTTCTATATACCCTCCAAAGTCGTCCTATATGGTCACTGCGATCATATCTGCTTCAACTGTATGCATGTCAGATGCTAGACTGCAGAGTTTCTGTGTGAACATAGTCGTAGTCGAAGTTTCTTCTTCTGCAAGTTGTGTGCGTTATACTCGCTCAGAAGTCGTCTCATTTGGGCATTGCGAACTAGTTCGCTCCAATAGTATCCAAATGAGATAATCCTTCAATTTCAAACTTCAAGTTCAACCTTCAAGCTCAAACTTCAAGGTGAACCCTCAAGTTCAAAATTCAAGTTGAACCTTCAAGTACAACCTTCAAGTTCAACTCAAGTCTCACTTCAAGTTCAAACTTCAAGTTCAACCTTCGAGTTCGACCTTCAAGCCCAAACTTCATGTTGAACCTTCGAGTTCAACCTTCGAGTTCAACCTTCAAGTTCAAACTTCGAGTAGAACCTTCAGGTTGAACCTTCAAGCTCAAACTCCAAGTTCAACCTTCAAGTTCAACCTTCAAGTTCAGTTTTTCCTTCTGCAAGCTGTGTGCGTTATACTTGCTCAGAAGTCGTCTCATATGGGCAGTGCGAACTCGTTCGCTCCAATAGTTCCCTTGTGAGTTGATGAGATAGAGAGATATAGTGTGCACAACGATGAAGTTGATGTATCTTCATTTGCCCATTGTTTTCGTTATATACCCTTCAAAGTCATTTTATATGGTCATTGCAATCGTATCTGCTTCAACTGTATGCATGTCAGATTTCAGACTGCAGAGTTACAGTGTGAACATAGTCGAAGTCGAAGTTTCTTGTTCTGCAAGCTGTATGCTTTATATTTGCTTTTAAGTCGTCTTATATGGTCAATGCGAACTTGTCTGCTTCAGAAGTGTCCATTTGAGATGATAGGACAAAGAGATATAGTGTGCACAACGATGAAGTCCATGTATCTTCATTTGCCTATTGTACCCGTTATAATTCCTTCAATTCGATTTTATACGATCACTGCAATCTTTTCTGCATCAACTGTATGCATGTCAGATACAAGACTGCAGAGTTACAGTAAAAAACAAAGTCGAAGTCGAAATTTTTCGTTCTGCAAGTTGTGTGCGTTATACCCGCTCATGAGTCGTCTCATATGGGCATTGCGAACTCGTCTGCATCGATAGTATCCCTGTGAGATGATAGGATAGGGAGCCATAGTGTGTACTCCGATAAAGTCGATGTATCTTCAGCTGCCTATTGTACTTTCTATAAACCCACCAAAGTCGTCTTATATGGTCACTGCGATCATATCTGCTTCAACTGTATGCATGTCAGATGCAAAACTGCAGAGTTTCTGTGGAAACATATTCGTAGTCGAAGTTTTTCCTTCTGCAAGCTGTGTGCGTTATACTTGCTCAGAAGTCGTCTCATATTGGCAGTGCGAACTCGTTCGCTTCAATAGTTTCCTTGTGAGTTAATGGGATAGAGAGATATAGTGTGCACAACGATGAAGTTGATGTATCTTCTTTTCCCCTTTTTTCTCGTTATATAACCTTTCAAAGTCATTTCATATGGTCACTGCAATCGTATCTGCTTCAACTGTTTGCATGTTAGATTTCAGACTGCAGAGTTACAGTGTGAACATAGTCGAAGTCGAAGTTTCTTGTTCTACAAACGGTATGCGTTATATTCGCTTGGAAGTCGTCTTATATGGTCAATGCCAACTTGTCTGCTTCAGAAGTGTCCATTTGAGATGATAGGATAAAGAGATATAGTGTGCACAACGATGAAGTCGATGTATGTTCATTTGCGTATTGTATCTGTTATCATTCATCCAATTTCATCTTATACGGTCACTGCAATCTTTTCTGCATCAACTGTATGCATGTCAGATACAAGACTGCAGAGTTACAGTGAAGAACATAGTCGAAGTCGAAATTTTTTGTTCTGCAAGTTGTGGGCGTTATATTCGCTCAGAAGTCGTCTCATATGGGCATTGCGAACTCGTCTGCATCGATAGTATCCATGTGAGATGATAGGATAGGGAGCCAGAGTGTGCACTCCGATGAAGTCGATGTATCTTCATCTGCCTATTGTACTTTCTATATACCCTCCAAAGTCGTCCTATATGGTCACTGCGATCATATCTGCTTCAACTGTATGCATGTCAGATGCTAGACTGCAGAGTTTCTGTGTGAACATAGTCGTAGTCGAAGTTTCTTCTTCTGCAAGTTGTGTGCGTTATACTCGCTCAGAAGTCGTCTCATTTGGGCATTGCGAACTAGTTCGCTCCAATAGTATCCAAATGAGATGATAGGATAGAGAGATAAGGGGTGCACACCGATGAAGTCGATGTAACTTCATTTGCCTATTTGACTCGTTATATACCCTTCAGAGTCGTCTCATACGGTCACTGCCATCGTATCAAATTAAAATTCAAACTTCAAGTTGAACCTTCAAGATCAAACTTCAAGTTCAGACATCAAGTTCAAACTTCAAATTGAACCTTCAAGTTCAACCTTCAAGTTCAACCTCACGTTCGAACTCCAAGTTGAACCTTCAAGTACAACCTTCAAGTACAACCTTCAAGTTCAACCTTCAAGTTCAACATTCAAGTTCAACCTTCAAGTTGAACCTTCAAGTATAATTTCAGGTTCAAACTTAAAGTTCAACCTCGAAGTTCAAACTTCATGTTCAACCTTCAAGTTCAACCTTCAAATTCAAACTTCAAGTTGAACCTTCAAGTTGAACCTTCAAGATCAAACTTCAAGTTCAACCTCCAAGTTCAAACTTCAAGTTTAACCTTCAAGTTCAACCTCCAAGTCCAACCTTCAAGTTCAAACTTCAAGTTCAACCTGCAAGTTCAACCGTCAAGTTCAAACCTCAAGTTCAACCTTCAAGTTCAACCTTCAAGTTCAACCTTCAAGTTCAAACTTCAGATTCAACCCTCGAGTTCAATCTTCAAGTTCAACCTCCAAGTTCAACTTCAAGTTCAACCTTCAAGTTCAAACTGCAGGTTCAACCTTCAAGTTCAACCTTCGAATTCAACCTACAAGTTCTTCCTTCATTATCTTCCTTCAAGTTCAATCTTCGAGTTGAACCTTCAAGTTCAACCTTCAAGGTCAAACATCAAGTTCAACCTCCAAGTTCAACCTTCGAGTTCAACCTTCAAGTTCAACCTTCAAGTTTTACCTTCAAGTTCAAACTTCAAGATCATCCTTCAAGTTCAAACTTCGAGTTGAACCTTAAAGTTCAACCTTCAAGTTCGAACTTCAAGTTCAACCTTCAAGCTCAAACTTCAAGTTGAACCCTCAAGTTCAAAATTCAAGTTGAAACTTCAAGTACAACCTTCAAGTTCAACCTTCAAGTCTCACTTCAAGGTCAACCTTCGAGTTCGACCTTCAAGCTCAAACTTCATGTTGAACCTTCGAGTTCAACCTTCGAGTTCAACCTTCAAGTTCAAACTCCAAATTCAACCTTCGAGTTCAACCTTCAAGTTCAACCTCCGAGTTTAACTTCAAGTTCAAACTTCAAGTCCAACCTTCAAGTTCAAACTACAAGTTCAACCATTGAATGTAACCTTCTAGTTCAATCTTCAAGTTCAACTTCAAGTTCAACATTCAAGTACAAACTTCAAGTTCAACCTTCAAGCTCAAACTCCAAGTTGAACCTTCAAGTTCAAAATTCAAGTCGAACCTTCGAGTACAACCTTCAAGTTCAACCTTCAAGTCTGACTTCAAGTTCAAACTTCAAGTTCAGCCTTCGAGTTCGACCTTCAAGTTCAAACTCCAAGTTGAACCTTCAAGTTTAACCTTCGAGTTCAACCTTCAAGTTCAAACTTCGAATTGAACCTTCAAGTTCAACCTTCACGTTCAAACTTCGAATTCAACTTACGAATTGAACCTTCGAGTTCAACCTTCAAGTTCAACCTCCAAGTTCAAACTTCAAGTTCAACCTTCAAGTTGAAACTTCGAGTTGAACCTCCTAGTACAACCTTCAAGTTCAACCTTGAAGTTGAACCTCCTAGTTCAACCTTCAAGTTCAACCTCCAGGTTCAACTTCAAGTTAAAACTCCGTGTTCAACCTTCAAGTTCAACCTTCAAGTTCAAACTCCAAGTTCAATCCTCAAGTTCAACCTTTGAGTTCAACCTACGAGTTCAAACTCCAAGTTCGAACTCCAAGTTGAACCTTCAAGTTCAACCTCACGTTCGAAATTCAAGTTTAACCTTCAAGTACAACCTTCAAGTTCAACCTTCAAGTATAACTTCAAGTTCAAACTTCAAGTTCAACATCCAAGTTCAACCTCCTAGTTGAACCTTCAAGTATAACTTCAGGTTCAAACTTCAAGTTCAACCTTCAAGTTCAACCTCTGAGTTCAAACTTCATGTTCAACCTTCAAGTTCAACCTTCAAGTTCAACCTTCAAATTCAAACTTCAAGCTGAACCTTCAAGTTGAACCTTCAAGATCAAACTTCAAGTTCAGACATCAAGTTCAAACTTCAATTTGAACCTTCAAGTTCAACCTTCGAATTCAACCTTCAAGTTCAAACTTCAAGTTCAACCTTCAAGTTCAAACTCCAAATTCAACCTTTGAGTTCAACCTTCAAGTTCAACCTTCAAGTCTGACTTCAAGTTCAAACTCCAAGTTCAGCCTCCGAGTTCGACCTTCAAGTTCAAACTCCAAGTTGAACCTTCAAGTTCAACCTTCGAGTTCAACCTTCAAGTTCAAACTTCGAATTGAACCTTCAAGTTCAACCTTCACGTTCAAACTTCGAATTCAACTTTCGAATTGAACCTTCGAGTTCAACCTTCAAGTTCAACCTCCAAGTTCGAACTTCAAGTTCAACCTTCAAGTTGAAACTTCGAGTTGAACCTCCTAGTACAACCTTCAAGTTCAACCTTGAAGTTTAACCTCCTAGTTCAACCTTCAAGTTCAACCTCCAGGTTCAACTTCAAGTTAAAACTCCGTGTTCAACCTTCAAGTTCAACCTTCAAGTTCAACCTTCAAGTTCAAACTCCAAGTTCAACCCTCAAGTTCAACCTTTGAGTTCAACCTACGAGTTCAAACTCCAAGTTCGAACTTCAAGTTGAATCTTCAAGTTCAACCTCACGTTCGAACTTCAAGTTTAACCTCCAAGTAAAACCATCAGGTTCAACCTTCAAGTATAACTTCAAGTTCAAACTTCAAGTTCAACATTCAAGTTCAACCTCCTAGTTGAACCTTCAAGTATAACTTCAGGTTCAAACTTCAAGTTCAACCTTCAAGTTCAACCTCTGAGTTCAAACTTCATGTTCAACCTTCAAGTTCAACCTTCAAGTTCAACCTTCAAATTCAAACTTCAAGTTGTACCTTCAAGTTGAACCTTCAAGATCAAACTTCAAGTTCAGACATCAAGTTCAAACTTCAATTTGAATCTTCAAGTTCAACCTTCGAATTCAACCTTCAAGTTCAAACTTCAAGTTCAACCTTCAAGTTCGAACTCCAAATTCAACCTTTGAGTTCAACCTTCAAGTTCAACCTTCAAGTCTGACTTCAAGTTCAAACTTCAAGTTCAGCCTTCGAGTTCGACCTTCAAGTTCAAACTTCAAGTTGAACCTTCAAGTTCAACTTTCGAGTTCAACCTTCAAGTTCAAACTTCGAATTGAACCTTCAAGTTCAACCTTCACGTTCAAACTTCGAATTCAACTTCCGAATTGAACCTTCGAGTTCAACCTTCAAGTTCAACCTCCAAGTTCAAACTTCAAGTTCAACCTTCAAGTTGAAACTTCGAGTTAAACCTCCTAGTACAACCTTCAAGTTCAACCTTGAAGTTGAACCTCCTAGTTCAACCTTCAAGTTCAACCTCCAGGTTCAACTTCAAGTTAAAACTCCGTGTTCAACCTTCAAGTTCAACCTTCAAGTTCAAACTCCAAGTTCAACCCTCGAGTTCAACCTTTGAGTTCAACCTACGAGTTCAAACTCCAAGTTCGAACTCCAAGTTGAACCTTCAAGTTCAACCTCACGTTCGAACTTCAAGTTTAAACTTCAAGTACAACCTTCAAGTTCAACCTTCAAGTATAACTTCAAGTTCAAACTTCAAGTTCAACATTCAAGTTCAACATTCAAGTTCAACCTCCTAGTTGAACCTTCGAGTATAACTTCAGGTTCAAACTTCATGTTCAACCTTCAAGTTCAACCTCTGAGTTAAAACTTCATGTTCAACCTTCGAGTCCAACCTTCAAGTTCAACCTTCAAATTCAAACTTCAAGTTGAACCTTCAAGTTGAACCTTCAAGATCAAACTTCAAGTTCGGACATCAAGTTCAAACTTCAATTTGAACCTTCAAGTTCAACCTTCGAATTCAACCTTCAAGTTCAAACTTCAATTTCAACCTCCAAGTTCAACCTTCGAGTTCAAACTCCAAATTCAACCTTTGAGTTCAACCTTCAAGTTCAAACTTCAAGTTCAACCTCCAAGTTTAACCTTCAACTTCAAACTCCAAATTCGTCCTTTGAGTTCAACCTTCAAGTTCAACCTCCAAGTTCAACTTCAAGTTCAACCTTCAAGCTCAAACTGCAGGTTCAACCTTCAAGTTCAACCTTCAAGTTCAACCAACAAGTTCAAAGTTCAAGTTGAACCTTCAAGTTGAACCTTCAATCTCAACCTCCAAGTTCAAACTTCAAGTTCAACCTCCAAGTTCAACCTTCAAGTTCAAACTCCAAGTTCAAACTTTGAGTTCAACCTTCAAGTTCAACCTCTAAGTTTAACTTCAAGTTCAACCTTCAAGTTCAAACTGCAGGTTCAACCTTCAAGTTCAAACTTCAAGTTCAACCTTCAAGTTCAACCTCCAAGTGCAACCTTCAAGTTCGAACTCCAAATTCAACCTTTGAGTTCAACCTTCAAGTTCAACCTCCAAGTTTAACTTCAAGTTCAACCTTCAAGTTCAAACTGCAGGTTCAACCTTCAAGTTCAACCTTCAAGTTCAACCTACAAGTTCAAACTTCAAGTTGAACCTTCAAGTTGAACCTTCAATCTCAACGTCCAAGTTCACACTTCAAGTTGAACGTTCAAGTTGAACCTCCAAGATCCAACTTCAAGTTAAACCTTCGAATTGAACCTTCGAGTTCAACTTCCAAGTTCAACCTTCAAGTCCAAACTCCAATTTTAACCTTCAATTTCAACTTTCAAATTCAAACTTCGAGTTGAACCTTCAAGTTGAACCTTCAAGTTCAACCTTCGAGTTCAACCTTCAAGTTCAAACTTCAAGTTGAACCTTCAAGTTCAACCTCCGAAATCAAACTTCAAGTTCAACCTTCAAGTTGAAACTTCAAGTTGAACCTCTTAGTACAACCTTCAAGTTGAACCTCCTAGTACAACCTTCAAGTCCAACCTTCAAGTTTAACTTCAAGTTCAGACTCCGTGTTCAACCTTCAAGTTCAATCTTCAAGTTCAACATTCAAGTTCAACCTTCAAGTTCAAACTTCAAGTTCAACCCTCAATTTCAACCTTCACGTTCAACCTTTGAGTTTAACCTACGAGTTCAAACTCCGAGTTAGAACTCCAAGTTGAACCTTCAAGTTCAACCTCACGTTCGCACTTCAAGTTAAACCTTCAAGTACAACCTTCAAGTTCAACCTCCAATTATAACTTCGAGTTCAAACTTCAAGTTCAACATTCAAGTTCAACCTTCAAGTTGAACCTTCAAGTATAACTTCAGGTTCAAACTCCGAGTTCATCCTTCAAGTTCAACCTCTAAGTTCAAACTTCATGTTCAACCTTCGAGTTCAACCTTCAAATTCAAACTTCTAGTTGAACCTTCAAGTTGAACCTTCAAGATCGAATTTCAAGTTCAAACATCAAGTTCAATCTTCAAGTTGAACCTTCAAGTTCAACCTTCAAGTTCAACCTTCAAGTTCAAACTTCAAGTTCAAACTCCAAGTTCAACCTTCAAGTTCAAACTCCAAATTCAGCTTTCAAGTTCGAACTGCAGGTCCAACCTTCAAGTTCAACCTCCAAGTTCAATCTACTAGTTCAAACTTCAAGTTGAACCTCCAAGTTGAACCTTCAATCTCAACTTCCAAGTTCAAACTTCAAGTTGAACGTTCAAGTTGAACCTCCAAGTTCAACCTTCAAGTTCAAACTACAAATTCAACCTTTGAGTTCAACCTTCAAGTTCAACCTTCAAGTTCAAACTTCAAGTTCAACCTCCAAGTTTAACCTTCAAGTTCAATTTCCAAATTCGACCTTTGAGTTCAACCTTCAAGTTCAACCTCCAAGTTCAACTCCAAGTTCAACCTTCAAGCTCAAACTGCAGGTTCAACCTTCAA